TGTCCCCTGCCCTAGGCGGGGTGTCTCACCTTCCCCCGGACTCTGCAGCGTGGTACCAATGAAGCCGTGAGGGTTCAGCTGACCACACGCCCCAGCACCGCAGAGTGGCTGAAGGGGGGGGCAAGCTGAACAGCTGGGCAGGGCTCTCCTGGGGCCCGCCGCTCTGAGACCCGCTGGAAGATGGCCTCTGGGGCACTTCTGGGGCTACGTGGAGTGAAGAGAACCACCTCGTGTCTCCACCAGCTCCGTGGATGCCTCCTTCCCCATCAAGGCCACTGGCAATGATGGACCGACTTTTCACGGTCTCTGCCCTTCTCATCCCTCTCTGCTTGCTCTGCGCCTCGTGAGAGGGTACGGGGAGGGGGTACCTGAAGCAGCACATCACTTTCATGCTGACCCAGGCCTCTCCCCAGCCCCAGCCCTCGAGACCTGCTCATCCCTGGCTCAGACACGCTGCAGCCCTTCTCCTTGGACCAAGCAGCGATATGAGATCAGACTGCTGGTTGGGGATGAAAGGACCTTAAAGATGTGACTGCTCCCTCCCCCCCGTCCACCCCCTTTTCTCAGGAGGTGAGGAGAGGCAGGGGCCAAGCCAACTCTCTTCTGGAGTTACCAGCCAGAAAGGGGAGTGTCATGCCAAAAGAATGGGCTGTGGTGGGGAACAGAGCCATTTTTCCACCCCTTACCCTGGAAGAAGGCTGCTGAGAGCAGGGCCGCCACAGGTAGGGTTGGGGGGTGGGGGCTGGTTTTTATGAGCTGCTTCACAACCAGGAATCGCTCTCCGAGAGATTCCTGCATTTAACTCGCACCCTGCCGGCAATTTCCTGAACACCCGCAGAGGTTTCGAGGAGGGCTGGCAACCGTGGGATCATGTCATCTCCCCTGCCCGCTGCACACACAGCAATGGGTGCTGCTCTGGGTGGCGAGGGGTCTGGACATACCTTTGAGCATGGGGTACAGAAATGGGTCCTGACAACTGGACAGGTAGCAAAGCCAATAGTCCCCCCCAGCCCCCCATCACTGAACCTTTAAACCAAAGCTGAAGAAAGCTGTGGAGACAAACTTCACGGTCAAAAAGAAGGGGAAGGGCCTAGGTGTGCTGCTTTTGGCCGGGGTTCAGTGGCATCAGGTTTGCAAGTCTGAGTTACGGGACTGTGATGAGCAAACCAGGGCCTGGTGGAGCTGTGAAAGAGCTGGGTGTGTGGCAAGCGCTGCTGCTTTTCCTCAGCCATCTCTGGCCAGGAGCCAGAGACCCCACTGGGGTCCCCAGGGCAGAGCAGCCCAAGGTACGGAGAAGCCCTCTGCAAATTTTCACTCCTTCCTCCGTTTCCAGACGTTCCCATTCTCCTCCTGTTGCCTCCTCGGGCTGGGGACCAGGAGAGAGGTGCTGGCCGTGTGGGAGAGCTGAGATGCATTGGTGCACATCACTCTCAGCAGTGGCTGTGCTTGGTCCCTTCGGGCCCTTTCTGAGGGATGCAGGGGGGGAACAGCTACTTTCCCAGCTCAAACAAGCAGCAGAAGGCTGTGTTTGCAGAAAGGGGCCTCATACAGAGGGAAGGAGGGAAAAGAGGGAGCATGACCAACCCAGGTGTGTTTCTCTGCAATTGCTTACCTCTGAAAACATCACAAGATACTTCATGGTATGTCGGCTCCTCATTTTCTATCTCCAGTCGAAGCTTGGTCCTTGGGGCACTGTTACTGCACGGTGCGGCAGTGCCAGCGCGGGGACACAGCTGTGCATGGGGGGTACATTTTCCTTGTTCAGACTTGCGGAGGTGGGCATGTGGCAGGTAATCATTAACACAGCCAACTGCTGTCATCCCAGCTCTGCTTAGCTGGGGCTGGGTTTGCACGGCCTTCCCCAGCCTGCACGCGTGCCCTCCGTGCATACACCCCCAGGTGTGTTTCCATCCCATGGGAGGCCAGACAGACCTCTGGACCTCTGACACCTGGCTGCAAGGGAGAAATGGGGGATGTTGAGGCCCTTCGGAGAGAAGGGCAGGGCTCTCCCCCAAAGGTAGACTGCCCCTTTCCTAACACCCCTCATCACAGCGATTGCATTTGGGAACGCTTCTCTCCCCCACCATAAATTTGACACTGGGGCGGCTGGAAAACTCTCATTGCCATGGTTACTTATGGTCCTCACCGCCTAGACATGGGCCAAGCGCCAATGCACCGGGGTCTGGGCACTGAGGCAGAGCAGGCCCCCTCCTCCCAGTCGCTTGTCCGCCTGGTCCCTGGGCAGCAGCCCAGGGAGGCCGGGACAATTTGGTGTGCCTTACACCCGCTACAGACCCCCACTGTTAGCTCTGGGCAGGAGCTGAAAGGCTGAAGGCGATGAAAGGGAGG